TGTTCTTGAGACAGTTAAACCTGTCTGGTAGTGATGTCCAGCAACTGAAAATGCAAGCTCCATGATCATGCACAGCTGTGGATTCCAGCTGCTGCCGTAGTTCTGCAAACTTTGTCCCCCACAGAGTTGAGCTTTTCAGTTCAATCAGCTACATTTCCATGTCGTCTGTATCCAGAAAGTTAAAGAGAGACAAATCCAGCTAATTACCAAAGCTCTCTGGTCTGATCAGAAAATAAAACATTGGTCCATACAACTGAAAGTCCTGAAAACGCGTTGCGAATTCTGTCTGGAGTCTTCGGATGCATTCATGAATTGCTGTGGTGCTGATGCTGCACTGAGCAGACAGCTCCCTGAGGTGTTTGAAGTGGCGGAATGTGGAAGTCTCAACATCCTTTAAAAAACTTCCAGCTTTCCAACAAAAGCTTCCCAAGTGTCACGCATGTCCAAAACAGTTTGACCTGCTCCCTGCAGTTTGAGATTAAGCTCGTTCAGGTGTCCAGTTATATCTGCGAGGAAAAAAAGTGTTTCAACCCACCTCTCATCTTCAAGTTCAGGATATCGTTGCCCCTTTTCATTCAGAAATGTTTTTACCACATCAAAACAATCCACAAATCGTTCCAGAACCTTTCCACAGCTAAGCCATCTAACAGCACAGTGGAGTGGGATGTCTTTGCATGAGCTTTCCATCTCCTCGAGCAGAGACTGGAATTGGCGGTGAGTCAAAGCAGATCGCTTAACTATGAAGTTCACAATTTTTGCTACTGTGGCCATGACATCATTAAGATCTGAATTTGACATCTTGGCGCAGAGGTTTTCTTGGTGTATTATACAATGCAGTTTCATGATGGGATGGCCTATTTGTTCCTCAATTAAAGTAACAGTCCCCCTGTGTTTCCCAACCATAGCTGGTGCACCATCAGTTGTCACTGCAAAAATCTTTGCAATGTCAATGCCTCGTTCCTCAAAACGCTCCATAAAAATGTTGGCAATATCCTCACCTCGTGTTGTTTCAGGCATCGGGGTAAGGCAGAACAGTTCCTCTTGTACTGTCACATCACAGCATCTTACCATTACAGCCAAACGTGGCACATCATTGATATCAATGCTTTTATCTAAAGCCACACTAAACACCTGGGCTTCTTTCAAACCAGCTGTTTGTTGGGCTCTGACATTGTCACCCATTTCCTGGATGCGTCTTTCCATAGTTCTGGCTGATGCAGGTATGTCTTGAATCCTTGCTTTAATAGTATCTTTGTTTGGAAGCCCATCAAATAACACGTCTGAGGTACAGAGAAATGCCTCTTTAATAAAGTTACCATCAGTAAATGGCTTTCCATGTTTAGCAGTACAGTGTGTGATACGAAAACTTGCTTCAGTTCCATGATGTTTAGTAGCTGTAAAAACTTTCAGAGTACTTGCTTGCTTCTCATATCTTGACACAGCAAGTGCAATTGATTCAGCCTTCTCTTCCTCGTCCTTGAAATCTTTTTGATGTTTCGTCTCAAAATGCCGCTTAACACTGGAGGTACGGCAAACAACACTCTCGAGGCAAAAAGCACACACAGCACGATCTCTTTGCTGCACAAAACCCCAGTCTTCTGTCCAAGTTGTCATAAAAGACCTGGAATTATCTTTTTTTGCTCACTTAGATGCCATTTTTTACAGGGCTAACTAGCTAGAAACATCCTCCTCACTGTACCGGCAGGTAGATTACCGTCATCAAGAAGCGGCCTGGATGTTGTCTTTTCGCTCTAATTTGGGATTTGGACTGGCGGGCCATCGCGTGGGTGTGGCGTTTTATTACTAATAATAACGCAGTTATTTCTGTCTTTCCGTTTATTTTTAACTTCCAAATATCACAGTGACTGCATCAACAACTGAGATAATCCCCGAACAACAAGACAAAAACTAAAAATATCCACCCGAACCTCCTCTTATGCTGTGCCACGTCTTTGTTCCGACACACAAGCACACGCGTTGCCAAGGCAACCAGCCGACAGAGCGCTTCGCCAGGCGGGAAGGCTGAGAGATCACATTTCAACTTTTTAACGCGTTTAGTGTCCAACCAAGAAAACAAAAACAATTAACAGAAAAGTCAGTCCGTTACAACACTTATTTTTCAACACATCTTCTCAGATTAATGCTCTGTGCCATCAGTTAACCCTTTGCGTGCCAACAGTGGCACGAGTGCCCAGGATTGCCGACCCCTGCTCTACAGCAATCCTCATACTAAGCAAGCATAAAGCGACAGTGGAGAGGAAAACTCCCTTTTAACAGGAAGGTGAATCCTGGCTCAGTATAAGCAGCCATCCTCCACGACTCACTGGGGATGGAGAAGACAGAGCAGACACACACACACACACACACACACACACACACACACACACACACACACACACACACACACGCACGCACGCACGCACGCACACACACACACACGAAGGAAAGGTTTATTATAAAGTTGTGGTGGAACAGAAGCAGGAACAAGCGGACAACAACACGAGGAGCCAAACACGGGGATGCAAAACAGACACAAACACGAGGAACCAACAAAGAGCATCGGGCAGAGCTGGGTTTAGCTAGGCTGAGGAGGGAACAGGTGTGATGATAACTGATTACAATGATGACCAGGTGTGACTTTTAACTGAGTAGAGATGATAAACACCAACAAAGTGAACAGGAAAAAATAGAACACAGTAAACTCAGATGAACCTAGAACTAAAAGACTGAATGAAGTAAATGATAAGAATTATCAAAACAGAACAAAACAACAGAATACAAAGAGTCAGGGAGTAAGGGCAGGGAAAATAAAGATTTGGGCAACGAAATAAACTAAACGGGAACACAGGGAGAAAATGGATGCTGGGGAAAAGCTGGAAAGGAATAACGGGGCTCAATGTAAACAGAAGTTAACTGAGGAGGAATAAATAACTATAAGCAAACAACTGCTAAGGAAACACAGGGGTCAAAGGTCACTGATACAAAAGGAGACTGAACAGGGGCTCGACAATACTAAAGCTAAACAAGGATAAGGAGGCAGCTAAAGAGAAATAAAATAATGCTAAGTGGCTGGGGAACAGGAAATGGAGTGAGAAACCCAAGTGAAGACTGAGAACTGGAGACAAGGGAGATGGTGGATGGATGGGACAGGGAGGACATGGACAGGACAACTTCACTTGTGAGAACAGTTTCTGTAAATGTGAGACAAGTATTATTAAATTAACTTTAACAAGTTTAAGCTTCGTCACATTTCTCAAACACTAATAACTAAGTAAAAATACATAAAAATTAGCTTTTTATTCTTTTCATCTAACCCTTATTTAACCAGGGAAAAGCCTTGAGATTAAAAGTCTCATTCAAGAGTATCCAGGCCAAGTCAGGCAGCAGCTAGCCAGCAACAATGATCAGCACACAAGGAAAACCGTTTCCACATCATAAAACAAAAGGACATTATTACACATTAACTTACCAATTGGATATTTTTTTATTTTCCAGATGATTGTGTTTGCAGACAAAATTGCCCGTGATCTTCCTTCAGCTACAAACTCTGTGTGAGCTTTGGTTTAGGTCCCTGGCTCCATGTTAGCTGGGTTAGCAGCTAGGTTGCTACCTTCATTGTTAGCTTCGTTAGCTTAGCATATAGCTTCGGGTCAGCTCAGCTACATCAGTTCAGTTTGCGGGTGTGTTCCAACCGTATGTACAGTCTATGGTTCCAACCCCTCACAGCACCATCCTCAGCTCCACCTTTTTGCCCATTTTTGGATTTTTTGAAAGTGACGACAAAAATTATACTAACTACAGGGCCAAGACAGGAGTTGAAGGAACCGCCCCCCTTGAGCTTTGGATAGGCCGGCCTAAAGAGGAGGGCCTTAGTTGTCCATCTTTCTCTACAGCCATTGTTCTGACTGAGCAGCGGGACTGCTGCTGCAGTAGTCGAGACACAGACAGGAGACTTATGAGTTTTAGATGAAAAGACAGCAGCAGCTCCGTTTGAATTCATTATTTCTCACAAGGGACATAAGAAAGAAAGGAAACGTGAGCAGGGGGAGTTTAAGTATCTCGGAGTCTTGTTCATGAGTGAGGGAAAACTGGAGAGTCAGATCAATAGGCGGATTGGTGCTGCATCTGCAGTGATGCGGGCGTTGTACCGGTCTGTCATGGTGAAGAGAGAGCTGAGTCAGAAGGCGAAGCTCTCGATTTACCGGTCGATCTACGTTCCTACCCTCACCTATGGTCATGAGCTTTGGGTAGTGACCGAAAGAACGAGATCACAGATGCAAGCGGTTGAGATGAGTTTTCTCCGCAGGGTGGCTGGGCTCTCCCTTAGAGATAGGGTGAGAAGCTCGGTCATCCGGGAGGGGCTCGGAGTAGACCCGCTGCTCCTCCACTTTGAGAGGAGCTGGTTGAGGTGGCTCGGGCATCTGGTCAGGATGCCTCCTGGACGCCTCTCTGGTGAGGTTTTCTGGGCACGTCCAACCGGGAGGAGACCCAAGGGAAGACCCAGGAAATGCTGGAGGGAAGTCTGGGCATCTCGGCTTAGGCTGCTGCCCCCGTGGCCCGACTCTGAAGAAGCAGCTGAAAATGGATGGATGGATGTGAGCTGGTAGTCATTTTCTCCTGGTAGATAATTGTATTTTCTCTCAGCAGTTGTTAAAGGGATGTTTAAATATCTTGCTAGGTGACTTAAACATTATGAACGTTACTAGTCAACACAAACATGATGCCCTCCTCAGTGACAGACAAAAGCCGTTTTACATCAAATACAATCATTCAAACAACTGAGGGGTGGAGCACCCTTGAACTTTAATGCTACCAACCCCCACATCCATCAGTCCCTTTCAGGAAAAGTTCCTCACTTGTATAATCTAATGAAAACATTACACGCAGATTATCTTTTGTCTCCAACTGAGAACCTGATTTTAAAACTTACAAACAATATTAAACAATTATTTACCTGATTTAAGGAGTTTTAAATGGAAAAGATGAATGGAGAAGGGAACTGGATATCTGACAATTTTATTAGCATTGTTCCATTGCAGACACCATTAGCACAAAATCACTTATCCGATATTAGAGTAATGAATAGTAGTAATTAGTTATTAATATAATTGCAAGGTTCTTTTATTTGCATTTGTGTTGTATTTTCAAGTTTTGAAACCCATTTGCTGAAGAAAAGAGTACACTAGTACAGCTCCAGACGTACAGATGTTTCTGTATCCTTTTAAACGTGACATGTTTTCTACACTACATATAAAATTCCAGGTCCCTCCCTGCAGAACATATTAAGAAAAATACTCACTTGTGTATTTTTAATTCTTTCAACCAGAAAAGTATTTAATTAAAGCAGCTCAGCACAAAATACAGTATAACAGCAGTGAATAAACAACTAAAGCCTTGAGTTGCAACGCTAAACTCGAGTAACATCGCAAGCTAGCATTAGGCATCCCCTCTATAAATTGAGTATTTTTAACTTAATGGGCTTCAAATGGGTGGCCTTTGCCCTCCATTTCAGGACTCCCCCCCTGTCAAGGGCATATTAGGGGGATGTTTGTGGTAAAAATCTAGTGGAGTGGAATTGGGGCTAGCATTCATCTCAGTGGGGACATAATACATATTCTTCAGGTAGCTGTAGTCCATGGGTGAATGACTTGGGGGGTCTGGTTTGGTTCCTTGACCTAAAGGATTCCTGTAGCTGACCCCGGGCCTGCTTGGATGCATTGCTACAGCAGCAACATCGGAATACTGGTGTGGCTGAGGCTGAGCTTGAGGGTAGGCTAATGGAGGAGGAGCTGAACAGGACATGTACTGGGGAGCAGGGGCATACATGCTGAGGTCCTGAAGAGGTGGGACTGGCACTGCAGAGGGAGGATACAGGCCTGAATGGGACATTGCTGGATGTGGGATGAGCACCTCCACATACTGGCCAGTTTCTGGGTCAAACAGCATTTTTCGCAGAGGTTGCACAGGCACTTCGATGTAGAAATACTTTCCTGTTTCAGGATCCATGAGCACTCTGCGTGGTGTCTGTCCATAGCTACTTTCTGAATACAAACTAGAGCTGTCACCACCATAATCAGAGCCACAAGAAGATCCCACAGGTTGAGGGCCACACAAATACTGAGGATCTATGGTTTGAAGACCAGGAGAGTGGCTGTGGCCAGGATCACTGTAGGGCGTGCCAGAGATGTTCGGTAGCTGCTGATGGGTAGATCTGTGAATTGGGGGTCTTCGAGGGCCAATGTGCTGGGGCGGTGGCAGTGAGCGGTCAGCTGAGCAGGCCTGCATGAATGAAGGGTGGAGAGGGCAGGGAACAGATTGGTGTAGAGGTTGATGCATGGATGGTGGTTGATTTGGACCAAGGGGGCTTGATTTGGGAGAGATTGGTTGGTAATTTATTGGCTGAGGATCAGGTCGACACTGGTGGGGGTGGAGAGGAGGTAGGCTCATTTGATAAGGGAGTGTCAGGCCAGAAGAGTGCGATCGGGCTGATGGGCTAATGTTATGGGGGCTGCTGTGATGAAGAGGAGACATGTGACCAAAGTGAGTTGGGCGCCCGGCTGTGCAGGAACAGGGAGCAGGACGGTAAGATGCATTATAGTGATTTGATCTTGGGGGGGGCACGTCTGGGAGCAAGAGTGGGCTGAAGCTCTCTCTTTCATCATAGCTAGGAGGGTCATCTGATGCATTAAAACACCTATCGTCTGACCTTTGGACACGCTCAGAGAGCGATCCGTTGAACGGCTGACGAGCATTTCTTTGTACGTGTGCTGTGGAAACACCACTGAGTGGTTTCATGTTGTTTGAAGTATGCAGCTTAGTTTGATCCTGAGAGCAACCTGCCCTGGAAAACTGCAGCTGACTGTCTGGATTCACGGCTCCAGATGTGGCCACTCCACAGACTTGGTTTAGTTCTGGATCAAGAACCAGACTTGGATCTGGTGTTACAGCCAGGTCAGTGGCTGGCGCTGTCGCTAAGGCTGAAGGTTTGAAATGGTTTCTGGAGCTTTGAGGAGAAACGGCAGGCTGTTGATGCTGAACTTGGTCAGAGAACCCTTCTGTGTCTGTGGCTGGAGCAGACTGGTTTGATTGACTGGAGTCTGGAGCAGCTACTGTTCTGTGAGGGAGCGATTTAAGGCTCGACATGGCTGACACCATCAGCTTTCTTGAGTAGTTTGATGTCAACGTAGCCTCACTGGAAATCTTTCTATAGACTGTGGGTGAACTCAAAACAATCGTTTGAGGCCTCTCCTCACTTTGTGATTTTCCAGGTGATGATGATGTTGCTGATGTTCTCTGTGCTTCGTTGGACAGGGATCCTGTATCTGCAGGCTTAAACTTGCAGTTTGGTTTGGGAGGAACAGCCGGTTTTTGAGAATTTTTAGAAACAGATTTCAGCTCGATAGTTTGAGGCCTGTGTCTTTCTGTTGAGCCGGTGGGCATTTCTTGTTTCTGTGCTTCTTTAGATGGTGACTTATCCTCAAACGAATGTGGGTGGAGTTTCTTTATTGCAGGGGATCTTGGCGGGAAAATCAGATCTATTCTTCTCACTGACTGAAAGCCTCCCAGATGTGTTTGCTTGGCGAGAGGAAGTGTTTGCTGGTGTGTGTGCAGTTCTTGTTTCGTGGTATCTTTCCCCTGAAGCTTAATGCTGGCATCCTCATCTTCTCTGGGCTTCGTGGGAACGTCTGTGCTTTCAGCTTCTACTGAGGGTTCAGAGGTGGTGGCTGAGGGAGGAAATGCCCCCTCTCTGTGAGACTCAAGCAAACCTTCACCTGAAGACAGAGCTGACTGAAGAGGGATCTCCAGACAGTTCACATGCTTAGGAGGAGCTCCTTTAGCTCCAGCTGTGTTTTGATTGTCACTCAACACCGATCCGATGTCTGCTTGATAGCCTTTCTCTTTTAGCAGCATGGAGACGGAGTGACCACCGCTACCAAACATGCTGTCAGGGATAGTGGGCCTGGGTGATGTCGGAGCTGGAACCTGGATTGAGGGAAACGTCTCCTCCTGAGTTGAAGATGCAGTGATGTTGTTTGTGTTTGGTTTGTCTCTTATTAACACCACAGCAGTGGACACCTCTCTGTCTTTACCCGGAGGTTTGAGGGGGCTTCTCAGCATGGCAGGTGTCTGGTCTGCTCCAGTAACCACAGGCTTGTCCTTGCTGTCGTTGTGAGTCTCTGTCACAGTCCGTGGTGTTCCTGCTGTAATGTCTGCATCAGGTTCAGATGTGGTTGTCAGGTTTGATGTGTTTGAGGACTGAACTTCCTGTGTGGACTTTTGGGTTCTGATGGTTTTGTTTTTCTCGTCTTTACAGCAGACAGCTTTGTACTCTATCTGCATCCGCTGAAGACCGGAGAGGGAAGCTGTTTTGTTCTGAGCGGACAGAGACTCCGAATCTTCTACCTTCTCTTTCTTGTCCGCTTTCCTTTCTGTCCAGAGCTCTTCTTTTCTTTCCTTCTCCTCTTCCTTCCTCATCCCCGGTATCACAGCCCTCTCATCAGGCGCCGAGGCATGTTTTTTCAGTTCCTCATTCAGGTTTTCAACATGTTCCTGCTGAACATTTGATGGGCTTGTGGCACTAGCAGCCTTGAAGGACAGGCTGTATGTATTTTTCACCAGCCTCCTTACATCTCTGACTCTGTGAATAGGAGACTTGGCTTGATCCCTCTCAGGCCCTTCCCCCTCAGCTTTGTTCTTCATGTTCTCCTCCTGTTCTCTGAGCGATACATCTGGTGAGAAGGTTCTAGGTTTGATGTCTGCGTCAGGTGTCAGACAGACGTTTAGAAAGGCTCTGGTTTTCTCCACAGCTCTAGATGGATCCTCCCGTGTTTTTGAGGTACATTTGTCAGACTCTGTGTTTTCACGTTCCTGGTCTCTGTTTGCCTCTCTTGTCTGGGTGTTGCTGGACGAACTGGCAGAAAACGATCCTGTGTCCCACACCGTGGCATCTGCTAAGTCTGCCTCCTTTTTGTGTGTTTGACGCAACTCTGTCTGAGACTTCTTGGTTTGAAAAGCCGCGTTACATTCAGATTGACTTTCTGATTCTTGTGGTTTTGCATTTCTGCTTTGAGGAACAGGTTCTTCTCTGTCAGCCTGGGAAAAGCTAACACTTCTGCCACCGCTGCAGGAGCTGGGCTGAATACTTGAGCTCGCTCCAGAACTCTTGGGTTTGGCTGGTTGCGTTGTGCTTGGCTCTTCCCTCACAGGACGCCTCTCAGACGAAAGGCTGTGGTCAGAATGAAGACTGGAACTCGGGTCCCTCGAGTCTGGTTTTAGGGACTCTCCAGACATTACTGCCACACACTCTGTTGGTGGGCTCACCTCTTCCCTGGCGTGATCAGGTTGCCAGTCACAGCTTGGCATCTTCTTTGATAAGACATTTTTGATGAGACAAGACGCCATCCGTGTTTTGCAGCATGTTTCATCCATAGAAGCAGATTTTTGGAGGTTGGACTGCCTCTCCTGTTGCTGACTAAGTTCAGAGCTGCTTCTAGAAGGAAACCATTCTTGCATAGCTGCTGGTGTGCTGTGCTGTCTCACAAAAGACCCTCTGAGGTGATTCTCCTGAGAGGGGCTTTCCACCATCGCTGGTACTCCCGGGCTGCTATTTCCACTGATTTCATCCTTTTTTCTTTCAGCGTTGTTCCTTCTTTTTAGCTGAATTTGTCGTTTTGGCACTCCTCTTCTCACCTTCCTGCAATCTTCTCTGTCAATAGAAACATCTATGCATTCAAAGCTGCCCAACTCGCTTCGCCTTGATGGATCTAGGCCCTCTGAATGGTGTGTAGCTGGTTGCTGAAAGGAGAGTTCATCATGGTCGAGCTTTGATGCTGAATCTCTGAAATCGGCATAGGCCAGCCAGGCTGCGCTGACCCCAGCCGGGCTCTCCTGAGTGGACGGCTGAGAGATGTTCGTGGATGAACAGTGGCTGGAGTTGTGCATGTCAAGGTAATCTACTTCAGGACTCGACAGGCTGCGAAACGCCACATCTGTCAACCACTTCACCTCATTGTCTGCATCAAGTTCACTTCCCATACTGGAGCTGGAACTCCGACAGGGCCTGCTTGCTGCTGAGCATCGAGGAGCACCACCCCTGCTCTGGGATGCCGGAGGGTGGCGTTTCTTGCTGGTGCTGCCACCGCTGGAGTCTGGCTGAGAGGAAGCTTTAAGGAGACTCTGTTGCTGCTGGAGCTGTTGCTTCTCAGGCGGGCTTTCTGAGTAAGCACGTGCTGGTGGCAGTCCCTGACTTGTCTCACTGCTTGTGGGAGCTGCACTTTCACTCACAGGTCCTTTTCTATTCCTGGCACTGAATGACAGCTCAGCCTGTTCCCCTCTGGAACTGGCAACCCCCTGCCAACCCTCCCCACCTCCAGGAGCCTTCTCCTCTCTTTCTGTCTTTCTGTCCTTCCCCCTATCCATTTTCTTTTTGACAACTGCATCTCTTCCCTGCTTCGGTAGCATTTCCCTGTCCATCTCTAGTTGCTTTTCTGCTCTGACCCAGTGGGCCTGGCTATTCATGTCATCAGGGACCACATTGATGCTTTCCTTATTTGTTGCCCCTTTCTTTAAACGACCACTTGGTGAGGACGATAACACCTGAGGGAGGCTATGGCTGGTCTTCTGCCACTGTCTGGATGGCTTCTCAGGTGCAATAATGTGGACAGGTGTGAACCTGGTGAGGGGTGGAGAGGGAGTCCGCCACCTACATCCTCGACGGGACACGTCTTGTGTGACCCTCTCTCTGTTCTCACGTACAACACTGGACACCAGCTCTCGTTTCGAGCTCTGCAGCACGGGAGACCGACTGCCTTGTTGTTCTTCAGCAGAGACAGCGACACTTGTTCTATCCTGACCGTGAGCTTTCTTTCTGGTCTCCTCTGTTTCTGTGGCTTGGTGTTGCAGTGAGCCGGCTAAACTTTTATTAGATGACACGTGTGTAGGAGAAGGACACCTGCCCACTGGTGAGCTGATGTTTAAATCAGCCCATGCTTCTGTCACGCGTCTGTCTGAATGAAATGAAGGAGGCATGCTGTCCTCATCCATATTTTTCGGGCACTGTGTTTGTGTGACATCTCCAGGAAAACCAATTGTTTTAATCTCAGGTGTGCTGCTTACAAAAGTGAGGGGATTATGTTTGGTGGAGAGTGTTGGTGGTGATTGCTGGTACATCTGCTCAGAAACACAAGCTTCAGGGAAAGGACCTCGAGGTCTCTGCTGAGAAGAAGGACTCTGCTGCGCCTCAACAGAGGCTGGGGTTTGATGTCCAGGTTCAGATGAAGGATTTAGAGGATTTGGCTGACAGGAAGGTGTTTGATTTCTGGCCTGAGGTAAATAATTGTCTTCAGGCAGCAAAACTGGGCTTGGGATTGAGTGTTGAGCAGTACCAGTGGACTCTACCCTGTTTTTGCTCATTTGTGACGACAAAGAATTGCTTTGAAGTTCTGGGAAAGGAGGACTGGTTCTGTCCTCAGGCGGAACAATGGAACAACAGATTCCTGTAATATGAGGAGAGGAAGTGAGGCTTCCTGGTGAGGCAGAGGGGTGAGACTGTGATCCTGGCTTCACTCGAGATTGTTTCTCTTTTATTTTGGTATGAGGTGAAGCAGCTGTGGTCCTGATCTCCGGTGAGGGAGGAATATATCTGTGATCCACAAAAAAGCTACCATGTCTTACTCCCAGTAGCTCGGGGGTCCTGATCTCAGGAAGTGTTGAACTGTTTTCTCTGCTAGCAAAAGGATCAGGAGCTTGACTGACTAGCCCAGGTGAGGTACTTGTACTTCTTATTCCTGGTGAGACAGAAGATGTGTGTGCTGAGATAACAGGAGAGGGTCTGGCTGTAGGAATGAAGCTGTCTCTTTCGACTGATAACGTTAGATCTTGGCTTTCAGGGGTTGATGTTGGGGATCTTCCTGTAGAAGAAAGATCAGAAATCAATTCAGTACTTTGAGCAGACTCTTTAAAATCAGGCGTAGAGCCTCTGCTAAAGATATCAGGTAGGGAGACCCTCCCTCCCAGCTCAGGAAAAGGAGATGGCGCTTGAGCATCAAAGAGAGGGGGAGTTCCTCTGAGCTCGGGGGAGATCAGGACGTCCCCTAAGGGTGAGTTAGACTCTGAACCACTGAGTGAAAATAAATGAGATGTTATCAATTCAAGATCTGAATCGGTATGGTTGTGAGACAGCTGTGTGAGATCAGCTGATGGACTGCTGTGTCCACTGACAGGGTTGGCTCTTAGCTCAGGTGAGTCTTGTGGAAGGGACAGAAGTGAAGTTAAAGACCGGTCTGAGGGGCTGCTCTGTCTGTCTGTAAGTGAAGGTGTTATTCTCCTTTGTTCAACTTCTGAGTAACTCTCCTTCAGACCAGGTGATGATGGTGAGGATGAGGATGAAAGTCTATCAGCTGAAGAGGATGGTAAGGATGACAGTCTTCCCTTTGGATTTAGAGGACTTGAGCTGTAACATCCAGGAGAGCGTGTGCTCTCACCCCTGTTGAGGCCGTGGGATGTTGAGGTCACCGATGATGACGTCACTGATAGTGGGGGGCTTGAGTCAGGTCGGTGTATTACTGTCACACATTTAGGTTCTAAATATGAACCACTTCCCTGAAAAGCTAGAAGATGCTCTTGGCTCTGTCCGTTATTCTCTAAATGCCTCCCTTCTAAAAGCGTGTTTTGTTTTCCAGGGCAGTAAACTCTTTCTCTGGAGTCTTCAAAGCCCTCCTCTTCTTCACTGGAGCCCTGCGCAGTGTGGTAAGAGCCAGAGGAGTCGTTCAGGTCTTCCACCTGAGGCAATGCAGCAGGTGTGGCTTCCACGTCCCTCTGGGAAGGGACAAAAGCTCCTACAGAAGGGTTGCTGGTGAGGGACAGCGACTCGCTGTCAACTCCAAAAATGTCACAGAGGCAGGTGGTTTCAGAGATGGTACTCCTCTCAGTA